CTGAATTTGAAACAATAAAAAAAACTGAAAACTGAATTTGAAACAATAAAAAAAACTGAAAGAACTGGATTTGAATCTGAAAATCTAAAACTGCAAATAAATACATACAAGAAAAAGTGATACTAAACTGAATTGAGATTCAGTTCTTATTATTTTATGTTTACTTTTTTAGTTTCTCAGATTATAAGGTAAAAATTTGACATTCCGTATCATCCATTTTTTTCTGTTTAAACTTTTATTTTTTTTGTTTCAAATAAGATCTATAAGTTAACAAACATTTTGACGACTTTCTGACTTTTAAAAACTTAATACTGACTAATTGGCAATGGAATAAAGTCGGTCGATGCTCGCCATGTTCATGGTTGTAACAGCAGCCTGTGGGGTTATATATAGGAATAAAGGAGAATACCAGCGTCCGTAAACTGGAGATCTACCAACTCTACGTCACTCAGACTTCCCAGGTCAGAGTTCTGGAAAAACCAGAACCATTATACTCAGACGTGTGGCCGTGCATAGACCTGAACCAAGCTGTGCAATTTGTAACGTACGCCTCGTTTACTCTACCCTCTGAAAACCGATCTGTGCCGAGCTCGGTTCCTTATGACCATTTACACACCGCTAGCACGGTTCCTCGCCTCCTAGTGGCGATCTATGGTACTACTGCTCTCTAGAGGTGAACAAGCAAGCCAACATGGCTGCACCCGTAACTTTCCACCACAAGGCTAAATGCTAATGTTGCTAACACTACATCTGCATACACACAAATCAAATCACTGTTACCAATTAGCAACTTAGTGGCTTAATTTAGCCAAATTTCCAAACCCCTCTTCAGACTTTTTTCAAGAAAGTGACAATTTTCCGTGTCGTTGGCGACTTTGCCGACAGAAAGCACCGATCGCTCTGTCTTCAACAAGCCGGGTGTGTCACTGCAAGCTCCTTCGACCAGGCAGTCAAAGAACCCATTTACACTATCCTCTGAAAACCGATCCGTGCCGAGCTTGGTTCCTTAACACAGTTTACAAACACCGCTAGCACGGTTCCTCGCCTCCTACTGGCGATCTACGGTACTACTGCTCTCTAGAGGCAATCATTCAGGAAGTTATGTTTTGTTATCATTCTAATGCTACAAAGAAGGCAGCCTTTGGTGAATTTACCTGACAGTGTCGGCTTTTGCGAAGTGGATACGACAAACGATAGTCTAATCAGGGCTCACAGACGCAGGAAACAACGACAGACATTGAGGTTCATTGAGCTATTTTTATGAATGTCTGAAATTTCATGAGTACGGAGGATGACTGTAAGGAGATGACGCCGTCTGCTAAGGCCCTCTTTGTTATCTGAGAACCGAACCTAAACTGAACCACGCCGAGTCCTACTGATGAACTAGTACCATGTTAGCGTGGTTCCATTCAGTTCTGCATATCATTTACACTCAACAGTTATGTCGGTTAGCATGCTCAGACGGATCTCAGCATGGTTTCAGAAGGGTAGTGTAAATGGGGCTATAATTTATCTACAGAAAAAAGTGATTATGTAAATAGTTGTAATTGAGGGAATTTGATTAATCATCACACTGAATAACTTTGAGCCACTAAATTCATAACTTCCAGGTTTATCCCTGCTGACAGCAGCTGGTTCTGCTGCAGCACAGCTGGATTTAAGCGCCTCTCTGTTTCAGGATCTGATAACAGACCAACTGAAGTCATGGAGTTACTAGGAAAGTACATTTATAATCTATGATGAAATGTTTGCTGTTGCCCCATAGAGGCCATCTGCAGAAAGAGTTTCCTCCGTATATTTGCTCTGTTTGCATTTTCTTTCAACCTAAGGACGGTGAATCTCATGCAAATCATCAGATTGTCAGAGAGATTTTAGCTGCTTTGGCTAACGGTTGTTTCCAAGTTAACAGCATTTAATGCAAATGAAGGCAACGTGTCCAGCTAATACCCACTTAGCAGACGGTTCAGAGATGAAAGAAATGAACCCCAGCATCAGTTTTCTCATTTTGGTGCTTCAACGCTAAATTAGACTGAATAATTTGACTCTTTTGTTTAATTTTGTTGTTTTTTTCAGGATTTTGTTCAAAGAAAGTCTTGCTGTTCACAGTCACCTCACTGGAAACCTGTAAGTATGCAGCCTAACATCAGCAGAGTGGAAGCGTGACGCCATCTTACAGGTTTTACGGTTTCTGTCCTTTTCAGAGTCCGAAGGAGGGTGGTGCCTGGACCCAAGGCCAAAGCTAAGGTGGGTGATGATGCTTCTGCTCTTTAAGTCGCATCAAATGGTGCAACGCTCTGCTGAGAGGAAAACCTGCTCACTAATCTGCTCTCAGCCAAAGCGCAAAGCACTAAGGGTGTGTTCTGTCACTTCCACCTTTGCTGCTAATCCCTGTTTTTGTAGCGTTCTGCACGTAGTGGGAGCGTTGCTCGCTCAGCAGGAAGAGCAGCAGGAGGAATCTGGAAGGTGTTTGGTTTAAAGAGGAACAGCTGAATGTAAACGGAGGGAATCCTGAGTGGAACGCGTTTGATGCGCTTCTAAAAAGGCCTAAAGTAACGCCTGCAGCTCAAAACATGAATTTAGATGATTCATTTTTCAGTGACTGCAAATAATCCCTGCAGTACGTTTTGTTCCTGGTTTCTTTTTTTTTTTGAATAATTCAGATTAAGAGTTCCTAAAAGCCAGAGTTAATGGCTAGTCTGGCCTAAAAAAACATCTTCTACCTTAGAAGGACTCCAAACTAAAACAAAACATAAGAGGTTAATGCTAACACGTTTATTCAAACTAGCAGGGGCGTTTTTATAAACATCCTACCAAAGCAATGAGGGTGTATTTTCATGGCTGGTTTATTCGCCGTCTGCACGGCGCTCAGAGAACAAGGTCTCACACCTCCAACTGTTTGTTTCTTTGCTCCAATCAGAACCAATGAGACTTTTTATTACTCCAGTTAAAAGAAACATTCAACTCATCGTCTTTTTTCAGCAAGTTGGATGTTTATAGCTGTAGGCAGGGGCGTATTTAGGAAATTTGGGGCCCTAGGTAAAGGCAGGCAGGGGGCCCTCTGAATAGAGAAGACAACACATAAAACAGACTTTTAAAAAAATGTTAATAGAATAGACATCCATTATCTGTTCTAGGTTGTGTCCCTCTCTTCTTGTCCCTTTTCTTCTTGTTTTCCTCTCTATGTTTTGTACTCAGCTGACTTTTCATGCTGTCTCTAAAGGAATGAATTTCCTTCCCCTTTCCCT